AAACACTCTCAAACAAAGAATATGTAATTTCAATTTCTTAAATTAACTTTAATTATCCCTTTCAGTACTTGTGCGCTTGCGCCCCTAAGAAGCATTCTGTTTATTTTCAATTGTATCTCTCATCAATAGAGCACCCATTTTTCGGACTTTGTCTCAAAAGGTTTGTCCATTACACGATCGTCTGAATCTCTTTTTAATTGTTAACAACTACCCGCGCGAAACAGCCATAATCGTTTCGTAGGCAAAGTTCTAATATCGAGGACCTAGTTATCTAGGTCGGAAAAAGATGACAGGGAAAATGGAAATCACGAAAATAAAGTAAAATGCATTTAAAAAAAAGGCATATATGAATTTTGAGATTTCGTGGTAGTTTGAGTATTGGTGGATTTTATATTTTCTTTTTTTTGTTTATTTTACTTTTCGTTTTTATTTTGTTTTATTAAAGATAAAGATAAACATTTTTCTAGTAAAGATTTGTAGAATTCGGTGCTACCAAAATTCAATTAAATAAATCGTGATTATTTTGCCATCAAGGTTTTTATTTGTAGCAATACACTTTAAAACTTTTTATTTTATTAAAATGATTGTAATTTAAATTGATTTAAATAACCACTTCATTATATAGTAAAAAAATATATTCTTTTCTATATTTCATTATTAAGCCCCTGCTTGGCGTGTGACTCAATTTTTTTTTTAAAGTTCCCATGGAAAAAGGTGCATGGGAGAGTTAGGAATTAGAAACTGTTGTATATTTGTGGTCGAAGTAATATATTTTCTAAAGATATGCCTTGAGTACTTCTAATAGATAGAAGCACGTTTTTAACTGATTCGTCGTCAACTAACTACAATAATATATCATATCAACGTTTTTGTTTGCCACGTCATAAAGTTCGTCAAATTTTGTAACATTGAGTTATTGAGTGATGAATGGAATAACGATTTGATAAGTTCAATGAACATCCAAAAAACTTTTAAAGGTTAATGGCCAATGGAATAAGTTCGGTGACCATCCAAAAAACTTAATTTTACTTTCTAATAACAAAGTTACTTTCATAATATGTTTCTTACCTTACTATACACTAATAAAAATTACTTATTTTAAAGCTGCAAGGCTGAGATATATATACGAAAAGAACCCGTATGAGGATTGCAAAGTAGGATCTGTTTTCACCTTGAAGATTGCAAGTTCATTTACAGAACATAAAGATGATTGAACTCCTGGAACCAAAGAGTACTATCGAGTCCCACCCTCGAGTATCTGGACAATCTCCTCCGCCCTAGACTGGATGCCTTTCAGATACTCCGTGAGAATGCGCTGCTGATAAGATCCACCCTCCTGATGTGGGGCAGTTGAAGTTAGAAGCTGAAGTAGAATTATGTAGAACCAATAATCTCAACAGATATGCTTACTGTTCTAATCAATGTCCTTTCGATGCGTTTATTTACAACAGCGTATAAATCTTCAGGCGAATTTTCCCCTTTACCGAGAGTCAAACCATCGATCAAGAGTTTATTCCATTCTGCCTCAGGAGCTGCTCCAGAAATAAAATATATGATTACATATTAAACGGAAACATGATCATTGGACTAATAAAATAAGTTCATTTTTTCCAAGTTAGAAGGCTCAGAGATGAAATTACCTTCGATTATGGCCTCAAGAAACTGCTCAGCTTTTAACACCTCATTGCCTACACCCCAAAGAACGGCAGGGATTAGTAACAAGCTTATTAAACTTTCAGCTCATAGTTCAATGCTGGAGATCAAATAAAGAAGAAAAATAACACTACCAACAAGTAGTGTGAAAGACCAAATTAATACTTCTGTAGACAAAGTGATAGACAAGCTACAACAAAGATCAATCATAAGTAGATCAACTAAAGTGATAGACAAGCTACAACAAAAATCAATCATAAGCAGATCAACTTAGTGATGATGTCTTTTTATTCATGATTATAGAGATATGGGCAATAAAACACCTTTTTTGGCGTAACTGCGCTTAGAGAGGACTCTGGAAGCATAGAGTTGTAAAACCTTTTGCAACATAGCCTCAAGACCAGGCTTGTCACCATCTTCTTTTGCCTGTGCATTGAATAAAAGTCACTTAATCTCCACTTTGTACTAGCATATCGTCTTATTTGCTTCTAAATCACCCAAACATTAATGCTGTTATGATTGAAATGTTATCATTTATAATAGTAACATATCCTCCCTCAACCCAATATAGTTGTATCATTTCGCTGAACAAACTTTTTATTGAAAAGTTTTATAACAATGACATTTGGATCGTAAATCATCTATTTGCCAATAGTTTGAATTCAAAATTTTCAAACATCTGACAAAACAACGAGTGTTTCATTTCAAATTTGGGAAAATTACACATGTATTCTCCAACCTATACATAAATATGCACTTGGATCCCAATTCAAATTTTCTATTCAGCAAATGGGTCTCAAACCTTCAATTTTGTAGTAAATGGTCCCTAAAGATGATCTCTACCCAAATTTTTCGCAAGCCGGTGCCAAACTGATAGGGGTTTGTGGGGGATATTTTAGGGTAGTAAGCGCAAAATAAACCTGGGGATTTGAAATATAGCTGTTTTAGGGAGATCTGAACGGTGGATGTTCAATGTTGCAATAAAAATGGGAGGGAGTAACAAAATTGATGGGAAAGAGCATCAGCATGGCAAATAATCTCCCACACTAAACTGACTTCGTAAACATAACAAGCATCTGAAGGCCATATCAAAATCAACCCTGTGAACTTACTTGCCGCAATTGTGCATTAACTTCTGCAAGGAACCCCTCATCAAGCTGCCCTTCTTGCTCTCTTTGGTTCAATTCCTAGGAATTGAAGCAGATAGACAGATATAAATAATTGCTATATTCACGAAATTATACAGTATCACAGATATGAGCTTGCTGACCAGTCTATCAAAACTGCTCACTAGAGACTAGTAATTCTGTCATGGTAAAATCAAATCCTTCAGCCCAAGGGGATGGAGTGGGTGGATGAGGCAACATGAAGACATTAAATTACCAAATGTAACATATCGACTGGAGAAAATGAAACATTGAGACTACAAAACAAATCTTTCCACACAAAAGAAAATATTACATAATCAAGAGGCAGCAATCATACGAGACTAAATATCTCATGAAATGCTAAGGGGGTCAAGGATTCAATTAAATGGATGTGTCAAACGCACTCTTTCCATGAGATTAAGAGCCTCAGGATCTCTAGGAGGCCAAGGAGTCTCTTCCTTTTCATCAACAACAGGTCCCAAAATTGCCTTGAGCACATCAGTAGCTGACTCTATTTTTTCCTGCAGCAAACAAAGTACCAAGGGAACAAAAAAGTAAATAGTATGCTGTCATGGTAGCGTTCAAAGGTGCTGTCTAAGACCTTGTGATAATTCTGAAAAATATACGTGCATATATATCTAACAGATAGAGACTAAATACAATACATTGGTCTTGTGTACAAGACGATCCACAATGCTCATCAATAATGATGCCAATTCCTCGTAGTCTTTCTGTCCATGCAATCATGCAGAAAGGAAAAAAAGCCAATTCAGAAAATATACAACCTAAACTTAGAAGTAAACTTAACTGAGTCTGGAACCATGCTTTATCATCTTCAGACTTGCAAGTTTCAGTTCTAGCTGCAAGTCGTATCCAAAAACTCTCATTGAAGGCAAGAACATTTTCCACCACAAGTGTCTGAAGCTGTTTCAGATGAAATGAAAAGGAAAAACTCATTACAATTAAAATATTTACAAAAGTTAAATGAGAGACTATAATGATCTACATCTGCCGAATACGTTTTTAATGTTTTACAGGAAAAAACAAAGAGAGAAACAAGAACAGTGAGAATGTGGGGTGTTCACTCTGTGAGGAAGAAGGTGATTGATTTTATATGCAAGAAAAAATTTTATGTGCTAAGATTTAAGATTGCAATGCAATGAATTACAACAGTCTGCAACTTACTAAAAATATAAAATCAAAGATGCCTGTCATAATGTTTAACAGCTTTTCTTCTCTTTTTTCATGTATTCGGCTTGTTAAGACTAATTTGATTTTCAATTCTCAACAGCCAAAAGCAAACAAATTGAAATTTTTTTATAGGGTCTATCTGGGATTTTTTCTAAAGTTTCTCATAACAGCAGAAGTAGAACACAATAGAAATCATCCAAATATATAAGCAAGACTCATATAGAGAGGAAATTTGGAAGTATTCAAATTTATGGGGTCTATCCTACAGAAGATACTTCTTAGATGTTTAACAACATTGAGCAGACCTACTTCCTGGTCATTTGCATCCCTTAGCATATCAATAAGCCTATCCACTTCCAAAGTTTTTTTGAATGCTCGCTCAGCATCTTGATTGACTGCATAGATCAAAGTTCTCCTGTTTATTAAATCCAAGCAAGCAATTTGATTAAGAACAGCTCCATCGACCAGATAACAGAACTCAAAAATCAAAATTTATCTGGGTTATTTCAAACATAAAGATGCTTTCAAATCTAGTTAGTTTAAAGCAAATCATTATCATCACAACTTCTCAACGTCTTTACCCATCAACCCAACTCTCTTAATACGGAAAGTGGCAGTGTTTCAATTTCTTTTAAGATAGAAATGTAAGAAGCAAACTATATTACAGATTACATAAAGCTAGTGAAAAGAATAAAGATGTGTTACAGCATGCAAATCAGGAATAGTACTGGCATGTACCAGATGAGTACTAATTTACTACCTTCTTCACTTGTACTACATATCTAGAAAAACGTTTCATTTTCCTTTGTCCTAGTCAATGTACTTCATTTCCTCAAAATAGGTAAATATCGAACACCTCCAGGAAGATAGGTAGTGGGAGGGGGAAAACGTCGTTGTCATCAAAAAGAAGGAACTCAGTGTATCAAAATACGGATGAGCCTTTAAAAATCCCTCTCAGTTAAACACTGGCGACAAAGGCACCAGTGACTATCAAAAACAGACTGTGAGTCGAGTCCATGCCCATGGCCCCAATCCCCAGGTCCAGCAGTCAGAAGAATTCAAGATTTTATGGGGAAAAAATTAAGGCATCCAAAACTGAAAAAATATCCTTGTTTGTATGTTGAAACTGATTTTCAGTCAAAAATTGAGTAAAGATATTACCATAACTAAAGAGACTCCTTCCTGTTTGAATTGAGTCGAGAACACAAATTTGACTTTATCAAAATGATTGTCAGCACAGAATCGTAAACTAACTAAACTTTACATAATCCCCTAGCTCTATCTAGATGCCTGAAACTTCAAACCAATATAAGAAAGGAAGGATGGGAGGCTTTACAACTCACCTCTAGCTGCACATGCACATGTTCCAAAATTATATGAGAGACTACAGCTTCTTATTCTCACATCAAACGACCTAATCCAAACCAACTACAATTGCCATTTCCATTATACAGCAGCAATTTTTTTACTGTCCCGCTACACGTCATTAGTTCAAATGTTTCATCTTGGCCATCACCAAGTAGCTTTTCTTTCATTTTAGTTAAGAGTATAGTAATGCCTTCACCTCAAAAACTTCAATTACTTTTGTATTTAATCTATTATAAATTTATCACGGGACAAACATCTGTTAATAAAGTCAATTTACTTTTCTTGGCTACAATGAGTAAATATGATTCATCCAATTTATGTTGGCCAACAAGCTGATATACCACATTCAGCAGATTAAAATTCCAGCTTTTGAACTTCAAAATGAAAAATAATTTTCAACTGATGATCCGGAACATAGCATTTCAACAATTTCAAACTAGTATAATCAAATCCAAATGCTAGTAACATCTTAATTCCATAAAAATACGGATCACTAAAATAGTTACTTAAAAAGCAAAAGAAATACCTCCGCTTGCATTCCACAAAATTTAAAGAAGTACACTTCTTTCCCCCAAGCATTCCATTGTTCAATCTTCGATATAATAAACACTGAAACATAAAAGACCAAGCAAATACTAATTACTATTCATAATCAATAACTCCCTAAATGGATAGGACACAGTTAGTTTTAATACCAAACAGATCCAGAATCTCAAGAACTCCGCTTAAAAACATATTCACTTTAATGCATACAATACATAAACATTTTTAAAAATGCAATTATGTGTTACTGTGTAGATAGAGGAAGAGTACCGGAGAACGATGCGACTTCGAATCGAAGAAGCATATGATAGCTGGAGGAAAAGGTGTGGCCAATAATTTTGCCATTTCAATTTGCTCCTGTTATAAGCGCCAATGGCGAGAGACGCTCAGATTTTGCTTATCAGCTTTTCGCATCGTGCAGTTTCAGTTTGAACTAAAAGTGTTCTCCTGTGGATAAACGGTTTTTAGTTTAAAGAGCGACTTTTATTTTTATATGGAAACCATTTCTATGGGCCCAAGTTTCAAGCGAACAACGCCTATTGGTTGGCCCAAATAATATTGGTCTGCTTAGTTGCGGCATCAAATGTGGAAATTACACCTATTCCTACCTTTGGAGATCCAATTTCTAACATATATTTAAGTGGAAATTACATGTATCCCTACCTTTGGAGATTCAATTTCTAAAACCAGATTTTATCTTTTTTCTTTCAAAAGTCAGACTTTTTAAAATAGATACAAGTTTTTTATATTTAATTAAATATTAATAAAAATATTATAAAAAATAAATTATATAAGATTTCAAACCCTAATTCATTTTCTCTCCCTACTCTCTCACCCTCTCCTCTCTCTCTCCACCATCGCCGCGTCCTCCTTTCCCTCTCCTCTCTCCACCACCCCTGGTTTTTGTCAACCGAAGCGCCGATCAGCAACCGTTGATTTGTGATTTCGTTCAGATGCGGCACTCCCCTGGTTTTTTACAAAGAGATCCTGGCTCTCCCTGGTTTTTGTTCGGTCAATTAAATGTGTACCCACTGTGACCTGAGTTGTGCAGTGGCGGCGGGGACGGCGGATTCGGGAAGTTTTTGGTGGTTGTGGTGTAATTTGGGGATTTTTTGCTGTTTGTGGTGGATTTGGGTATTTTTTTAGTGGATGTTGTGGTTGTGGTGTAATTTGGGGATATTTTGTGTGGATGTTTATATGGTGGT